AAGAAATTCATATAATTTTTTTTTTTTACACAAATAGAGCTTTCTTTTGGTGGTATTTGATCACTGGGTTTTTACTTTTTTGCACTATAAATGAAGAAACTGCTACAAATCTACAAAAAAAAAAAAACACAAAACAATATTTTACTTTTTGCTACAAATCACAACCAATCAAAATAATAATAATAGAAAAAAAAAAATTCTTCTTAAATTTAGGCCAAAATGTGTTCTGCTACATGTCTTTGGTAAAAAAAAAAAATCCAAATAACCGTATAGTAATTGGTTTGGGTGAAAGTTAAAGCGTTTACAAATGGTGATATATATACATACAGTCAGGTCCATAAATATTGGGACATCGACACAATTCTAACATTTTTGGCTCTATACACCACCACAATGGATTTGAAATTAAACGAACAAAATGTGCTTTAACTGCAGACTGTCAGCTTTAATTTGAGGGTACTTACATCCAAATCAGGTGAACGGTGTAGGAATTACAACAATTTGCATATGTGCCTCCCACTTGTTAAGAGACCAAAAGTAATGGGACAATTGGCTTCTCAGCTGTTCCATGGCCAGGTGTGTGTTATTCCCTCATTATCCCAATTACAATGAGCAGATAAAAGGTCCAGAGTTCATTTCAAGTGTGCTATTTGCATTTGGAATCTGTTGCTGTCAACTCTCAAAATGAGATCCAAAGAGCTGTCACTATCAGTGAAGCAAGCCATCATTAGGCTGAAAAAACAAAACAAACCCATCAGAGAGATAGCAAAAAACATTAGGCGTGGCCAAAACAACTGTTTGGAACATTCTTAAAAAGAAGGAACGCACCGGTGAGCTCAGCAACACCAAAAGACCCGGAAGACCACGGAAAACAACTGTGGTGGATGACCAAAGAATTCTTTCCCTGGTGAAGAAAACACCCTTCACAACAGTTGGCCAGATCAAGAACACTCTCCAGGAGGTAGGTGTATGTGTGTCAAAGTCAACAATCAAGAGAAGACTTCACTAGAGTGAATACAGAGGGTTCACCGCAAGATGTAAACCATTGGTGAGCCTCAAAAACAGGAAGGCCTGAATAGAGTTTGCCAAACGACATGTAAAAAAGCCTTCACAGTTCTGGAACAACATCCTATGGACAGATGAGACCAAGATCAACTTGTACCAGAGTGATGGGAAGAGAAGAGTATGGAGAAGGAAAGGAACTGCTCATGATCCTAAGCATACCACCTCATCAGTGAAGCATGGTGGTGGTAGTGTCATGGCGTGGGCATGTATGGCTGCCAATGGAACTGGTTCTCTTGTATTTATTGATGATGTGACTGCTGACAAAAGCAGCAGGATGAATTCTGAAGTGTTTCGGGCAATATTATCTGCTCATATTCAGCCAAATGCTTCAGAACTCATTGGACGCTTCACAGTGCAGATGGACAATGACCCAAAGCAGACTGCAAAAGCAACCAAAGAGTTTTTTAAGGGAAAGAAGTGGAATGTTATGCAATGGCCAAGTCAATCACCTGACCTGAATCCGATTGGGCATGCATTTCACTTGCTGAAGACAAAACTGAAGGGAAAATGCCCCAAGAACAAGCAGGAACTGAAGACAGTTGCAGTAGAGGCCTGGCAGAGCATCACCAGGGATGAAACCCAGCGTCTGGTGATGTCTATGCATTCCAGACTTCAGGCTGTAATTGACTGCAAAGGATTTGCAACCAAGTATTAAAAAGTGAAAGTTTGATTTATGATTATTATTCTGTCCCATTACTTTTGGTCCCTTAACAAGTGAGAGGCACATATGCAAACTGTTGTAATTTCTACACCGTTCACCTGATGTGGATGTAAATACCCTCAAATTAAAGCTGACAGTCTGCAGTTAAAGCACATCTTGTTCGTTTCATTTCAAATCCATTGTGGTGGTGTATAGAGCCAAAAATGTAAGAATTGTGTCGATGTCCCAATATTTATGGACCTGACTGTATATACTGGAATTTGTATGTATTTTTTTTATACTAATAATGGCACTGATCAGCGACTTATAGTGGAACTGCTTTAGTATGGTGGGCATTCTGACACTGGATTGGAACCAACTGCCACTGGCTTCTCCAGTGACACTAATAGTGATCAGTGCTAATAAAAAGCACTGACACTGTACTAATGAAACTGGGCAGGAAGGGGTTAACATCTGGGGAGATCAAAGTGTTAACTGTGTGCTGTGTTTTACTAGGGGACATGCTGGCTTTTATCTCCTTGTTTGCAGAGAGATAAAAACAAGCACATCCCTGCCGACAGGAGAGAGATCTGTGTTGGTTACACTCTCAGATCTCTCTCCTGTCAGCTGCTCCACCGATCAGGAATCGCTTGCTGGGACCTGGTGATTGATACCTACAGGAGCCAATGACAGAGCGGGTAGAACGGTGCATGTGCCCCCTACCAGAAGTTCAAAATCATATACAGTATCTCACAGGAGTACACCGCTGATATTTTTGTTAATATTTTATTGTATCTTTTTATGTGACAACACTGAAGAAATGACACTTTGCTACAATGTAAAGTAGTGAATGTACAGCTTGTATAACAGTGTAAATTTGCTGTCCCCTCAAAATAACTCAACACACAGCCATTAATGTCTAAACCGCTGGCAATAAAAGGGAGTACACCCCTAAGTGAAAATGTCCAAATTGGGCCCAAAGTGTCAATATTTTTGTGTGGCCACCATTATTTTCCAGCACTGCCTTAATCCTCTTGGACATGGAGTTCACCAGAGCTTCACAGGTTGCCAGTGGAGTCCTCTTCCACTCCACACTTGTCTTTGTACTCCTCACCTGGTTGCCGCCACACACGCTTGACACCAACTGAACCAAATACGTTTATCTTGTTCTCAATCAGACCATATGACATGGTTCCAGTAATCCATGTCCTTGGTCTGCTTGTCTTCAGCAAACTGTTTGAGGCCTTTCTTGTGCATCATCTTTAGAAGAGGCTTCTTTCTGGGATGACAGCTATGCAGACCAATTTGATGCAGTGTGTGGCGTATGGTCTGATCACTGACAGGCTGACCCCCCCCACCCCTTCAACCTCTGCAGCAATCATACGTCTATTTCCCAAAGACAACCTTTAGATATGACGCTGAGCATGTGCACTCAACTTCTTTGGTCGACCATGGCGAGGCCTGTTCTGAGTGGAACCTGTCTTGTTAAACCACCGTATGGTCTTGGCCACCGTGCTGCAGCTCAGTTTCAGGGTCTTGGCAATCTTCTTATAGCCTAGGCCATCTTTATCTGGAATAATAATTCTTTTTTTCAGATCCTCAGAGAGTTCTTTGCCATGGGGTGCCATGTTGAACTTCCAGTGACCAAATTGAGAGCGTGAGAGCGATAACACCAAATGTAACACAGCTGTTCCCTATTCACACCTGAGACCTCGTAACACTAACAAGTCACATGACACCGGGGAGGGAAAATGGCTAATTGGGCCCAATTTGGACCTTGTCACTTAGGGGTGTACTCACTTTTGTTGCCAGCGGTTTAGACATTAATGGCTGTGTGTTGAGTTATTTTGAGGGGACAGCAAATTTACACTGTTACACAAGCTGTACACTGATTACGTCACATTGTAGCAAAGTGTCATTTCTTCGGTGTTGTCACATGAAAAGATACAATAAAATATTTACAAAAATGTGAGGGGTGTACTCACTTCTGTGTGTGTGTATATATATATATATATATATATATATATATATGGCCATCCTGAGTAACGGCAGATTATTCATGCAGCATTTACTTCCTGGAATCCATCTTCCCTTGCTCAGGCACGCAGGCAGGAAGGTGAACTTAGTTGAGAAAACCTCTCCTAGAGACTCCTACGATGTAGGACATCATTTGTCTAGGCCTGAAAAACAGGAACTAAAGAAATATATATATATATATATATATATATATATATATATGTTTAAACTGAGTAAATATGATCACTTTCCTGTCTATTTAATAATGCTAGCAGCGTAAGGATTTAAAATATTCAGAGCGAAGTTCTGCTTTAATAAAGTAGAAAACATAAGGAAGATGGAAGACTTAATCCATTCACAAAGCAATACCCTGAATACCTTTCATAATACATGGCATTTTGCAAAGGTTCACATTCTCAGAGGAAGGGAAACGTCTGTTAGCTGGAGTTGAATGAGTAGGGATTGCTCATACCAACAGATGTCACTACCTCTCTTTTACGCTGATCGCAGTTAACTTTTATTTGCCTCAGTGGCCTAAAGCCCCATACACACACGATGAGAATAATGGTTGTCCGATTTTGTTTTTGCATGCTAGTCTCATATTGAAAGTGAAAAGGTTACTAAAGTTGCGAAAATTCTTGTCGGACAGAAAATTCGGAAGTGATGTAATTTATTTGCATTGCACTTTCAGATGAAAACTGTACTGCTTAAAACAAAAATCTTACGATCTGGTATCATATGCGAAAAAGTTTTGTGCTTGTCCCTTCAAATAATTTCAGATGAAAGCTGTGTACGAACGATCAGATTATTGTACAGTCGCTTCAAAAGTGGTATTTTTCCTGTGATTTTCTGATCGTGTACTATATGTTAGACTCCCTCCCCCACTTGATCCGACTGTATTGGATATATTTAGAATACATGATTTACATTAGCCATTTTCTGTGGTGATAAAGTAGAATATATATATATACTTGATATGATAAAGACCAGAATTGATATGGTTTGTGAATACTTCTGCAACATTTTCTATGCCAGTTTCTACTGATGTTTTTGTGACCTTGTTGTTTGTAATAAATAAAGAATTTGAAAAAACAATACTGAGGAATGTACTACAATGTGTGACATCTGTCACCAGGAATGGTTTACAGAACACAGTGTGATCTCTTCTGTAGTGTTTTTTTTGTGCTGGAACAGGACATGTTTTATAGCTGCTGTGTTCATCTTCCACAGAAGCGTCTGTATGAATTGCAGCTGTTGATAGAGATGTACAATTTAAACTTCACATGAGAAACTGTGCAACAAGGTTCCCAACACCTATTACGATGATAGAGGTATGTATGACAGCGGAATACCATGTGAGCCGCTGGCTGCGATAAAGAGCGATCATGTGGATCAGACAGGGGTACACAAAGACAAACGCAAGACCACAAGCAGCTCCCGAAAACCTAGGAAGATAAAAATCAGATCATCACAATGCTGCGAAAATTAAATTACAGATTTACATTAGAAAGGAGGAATGCCAATAGCACTAGGATATGTCTCATCAGCAATTGATTGGGAAAATCTTTGTTGATGTTGAACTATTTTCCCCCAGAAGAGTCATCCAGGGACGTCTAGAGAGTCCAAAGGCACCACAGACTAATGATCAATCATAACTTGTTGCACTGGACCAAGATGGACTTGTGTTTGTGGGCAACATTACATAGGTGCTGGACAAATCCCAGGTGCTTTTTTTTGTCAATGGAAACACACATGGGGGGGGGGGGGGGGGGGGGGGGGGGGGGGTATCTTTGATTGACTGTCTCCTCAATGGTGCAATATTACTATGGGGAGAGATACCTTTGTAAGATCAACTGTGGCTGAATGGGTGGGTACATTTGTTTTTTTTTTTTTTACATTCCCCCTAAATGGGCTATCAGTATATACAGTGGGGCAAAAAAGTATTTAGTCAGCCACCAATTGTGCAAGTTCTCCCACTTAAAAAGATGAGAGAGGCCTGTAATTGGCATCATAGGTAGACCTCAACTATGAGAGACAAAATGAGAAAAAAAATCCAGACAATCACATTGGCTGATTTGGAAAGAATTTATTTGCAAATTATGGTGGAAAATAAGCATTTGGTCAATATCAAAAGTTCATCTCAATACTTTGTTATATATCCTTTGTTGGCAATGACAGAGGTCAAACGTTTCCTGTAAGTCTTCACAAGATTGGCACACACTGTTGCTGGTATGTTGGCCCATTCCTCCATGCAGATCTCCTCTAGAGCAGTGATGTTTTGGGGCTGTCGCTGGGCAACACAGACTTTCAACTCACTCCAAAGGTTTTCTATGGGGTTGAGATCTGAAGACTGGCTAGGCCACTCCAGGACCTTGAAATGCTTCTTACGAAGCCACTCCTTCATTGTCCGGGCGGTATGTTTGGGATCATTGTCATGTTGGAAGACCCAGCCACGTTTCATCTTCAACGCCCTTGCTGATGGAAGGAGGTTTGCACTCAAAATCTCACGATACATGGCCCCATTCATTCTGTCCTGTACATGGATCAGTCGTCCTGGTCCCTTTGTGAAGAAACAGCCCCATAGCATGATGTTGCCACCCCCATGCTTCACAGTAGGTATGGTGTTCTTTGGATGCAACTCAGCATTCTCTCTCCTCCAAGCACGACGAGTTGGGTTTCTACCAAACAGTTCTATTTTGGTTTCATCTGACCATATGACATTCTCCCAATCCTCTTCTGGATCATCCAAATGCTCTCTAGCAAACTTCAGATGGGCCCGGACATGTACTGGCTTAAGCAGGGGGACACGTCTGGCACTGCAGGATCTGAGTCCCTGGTAGCCTTTGTTACGTTGGTCCCGGCTCTCTGCAGGTCATTCACTAGGTCCCCCCGTGTGGTCCTGGGATTTTTGCTCACCGTTCTTGTGATCATTTTGACCCCATGGGGTGAGATCTTGCGTGGAGCCCCAGATCGAGGGAGGTTATCAGTGGTCTTGTATGTCTTCCATTTTCTAATTATTGCTCCCACAGTTGATTTGTTCACACCAAGCTGCTTGCCTATTGCAGATTCAGTCTTCCCAGCCTGGTGCAGGTCTACAATTTTGTTTCTGGTGTCCTTCGACAGCTCTTTGGTCTTCACCATAGTGAAGTTTGGAGTGTGACTGAGGTTGTGGACAGGTGTCTTTTATACTGATAACAAGTTCAAACAGGTGCCATTGATACAGGTAATGAGTGCAGGACAGAGGAGCCTCTGTGAGGTCTGTGAGAGCCAGAAATCTTGCTTGTTTGTAGGTGACCAAATACTTATTTTCCACCATAATTTGCAAATAAATTCTTTCCAAATCAGCCAATGTCATTGTCTGGATTTTTTATGATGCCAATTACAGGCCTCTCTCATCTTTTTAAGTGGGAGAACTTGCACAATTGGTGGCTGACTAAATACTTTTTTGCCCCACTGTACACGTGCAGTCAGCATCATTGCTAAATTACTGCAGAGTTAAACGGACTCATTTGCTAAAATCAAAATGTAAAATAAAGTCTTCCTGCAAAAACACATGCAATACTCATCTCTCCTGCTGCTGACACTGTAGATCTCTGATGTAGTGTAAACAAAGACTTTACAGAATCCCATGTGTCTGAAAGAGTCCGTTTCTTGGTTCCCCACTGTGTGCTATGGTTTGATCTGCTCGCCTCTACTGCACTACAGGACACAATAGTTATATAAGGGCCAGTGGAAGGAACCACTGCATGCAGCAGGGAGCCAGGAATCAGAGTCCTGGATATGTTGGATTCTGTGGGTTCCACAGCCAGTGGTTTATCTTCACTACAGCAGATATCAGTAGAGGTATGTATAACATGTCTTCTTGGAAGGGTAGAATTTAGTTTTAGTTTTTGGATTTAGTGACAAAGTCACTTTAAAACTCCAGTTAAAACTTTTCTATAAGCATTGGGTAGAGTGGGGAGGGTTTAACACCTCTGTTAGGTTTCTAATGATGCCAGTGTCCCTTCCAAGGCAAAAGATGATACTTGTCACCAGCACATCAAAATCACTAGCAATTCTTTATGTAATAAATAAAAGCTCTTGGCAAGCAATTTTGGTGTGCTGATGATGGGCATCTTCTTCTGCATTTGACAGCAATGGAGCAATCTATTGGTGCATGCACTGTATGGAGTGCACCTAAATATACAGTATGTACCCCCATTGTGGAGATGGCCCTCCCACATCCATTTCCAGAAACACAAAAGAGGAATTGAAAAGAAGACTCTCCTAATTGAGGGGAAATTCTGATTTTGATGCCTGTCATCTGAACAGGTGTCCCACTATCTTAGTGACAATGGTTACCAAGTAAAATAATGAGGGTGGACATGAATATCAGGGAATAGTGTTCTTGAATATAAAACTGTTACACTAGTTGTGCTTAACCATGTCAATTATTTTTTTCTTTTTGCAATATATACTCATACCTAATAATTCCTCCTATGTTGGGATAGAATTTCGCCATGACAACTCCCACGGCAACAACAGCTATGTTGAGTCCCAAAACATGTAGAATACTGAAAAAGAATGAACAAGTAAAAAAAAATTTTTTAAAGATCTCTCACTGTGGAAAATGTATACAGATAATTTTGTCAAGAGAATGTAGAAAAGTCTGAGACCCAACACACTGCTTATCCATGGAGCAATTACAGACCATTTAAAGAGGCTTCTACCTTTCCTTTATATCTTAGGAACATATGGATATTTTGGAATGTGGGTGTCTGAACATTTTGTAGAGATTTAGGTCCTGTTAACACGTTTATTTTCCTGCAATAAAACTGCATCTGAACTAGAAATGCCACCGATTTGCATGCTGGTCCACATCTATGCATGCAACACACTTTGCATGTTTTTTTTTTTTTTCTTAATACAGGGCATGCTGCAAACTTGTTTGTATTAAAGCGACCCTGTTGCTGTAGAAAATTTTCAAGTGCCCATTAAGATGTACACGTCATGCTTTACCACACAATATTGTACCATGTTGTTATACGTCCATTGTAGCACAGTGTGTTGCAGTGCCATTCATTTTACGCATTGTGTTTTTAAAATAGGTGCATGTCTGGCTTTTTTTTTTTTTTGCCAATTCTGTATTTAACGCAAGGCAATGGTACAGAGAATCCAAGTCACAATATCGCCAACATATACAATCCGGAGTATCACAGAGAATAAGTAGAATGGAGACAAATATTGTCACAGAGCAGTGGTACAAAATAGGTACCCTGAACAGCCATATAAACTACAGAAACATACAAAAAGTAAAAAGGGGGAAAGCCCTGCTAAACATCATGGCAGCCAGAAGTCTCGGCAGCCAGAAGTCTCTGCACCCTGATGTCTGACTCTTTAAAATGGTTGTAAAGGTTCAAGGTTATTTCCCTTCATAAATTCTATGCATGAAGGTAAAAACTTTTCTGTGTGCAGCAGCCCCCCCATCCTCCTTAATACTTACCTGAGTGCCATCATGATCCAGCGATGTGTACAAGAGCCTCGGCAGTCCCAGGACGCCCTCTCCTCATTGGCTGAGGTAGCAGCAGGAGCTACTAGCTCCCTCTGCTGTCAAATCACAGCCAGTGAGCCAAAGAAATGAGGGGGCAGGGCCGAGCCGCAGATCTATGTATGAATAGACAGGCAGAGCAGCAGCTTTGGAGAGGACCTGCTTGGGTGCCCCCATAGCAAGCTGCTTGCTTTGGGGGAACTCTGAAGGGAGGGGCCAGGAGAGCCAGCGGGGGACCTAAGAAGAAAAGGATTGGGGCTATTCTGTGCAAAACCATTGCACAGAGCAGGTAAGTATAATGTTTGTTCTTTCTAAACCTCCAATACCACTTTAATGGGCTCCATTAATGCAGCACAACATATTGCACAGTAATGCCTTGCATCAACTCGTGTCCACTAATGCAAGCCTAATCTGAAGTGCCCTTAAACCCAGCCTCAACAGTAAGAGACGTATACTTCACTTGCCTGTGGCCCGCATAAACTCACTTTTCTCTGTTCCAAAAAAAAAAAAAAAAATGTTTTTCTGCTGATGTTCAAAAGGAAACCAACATTTTGGGGAGTGTTGATTCCCTGGGTTCCCCTCACTGGTTTCTCCCTTTGACCTGCACTTCACTATTGCCTCCTGTAATGAGTGGAGGTCAGAAAGAACTAGTGAGCACTGAGGGGAACCCAAGAGATAGATACTTTCAAAAGAGTCAGTTTTAGTGTAGAATTTAGAAGATCAGAGTGGCATTCAATGATACAGGCAGCTGGAAAGGCGATTATGCAAAGACTTCCTTCACTAATATTTACTATAGTGATAGGGTAGCTTTAAGTATTCATTGAAATGACTAATAAAACTCACCGGCGTGCAAGGAAATATCTATCCTGAGTGCTATGCTTAAATAAACTAAAAAAAGGAAAATCTACCATGCACAATAAATGTGAATACAAATGGCATAGATGTGTGCATAAACATGGGTATAAAAGCCACATTAACATATACAGTTGTGTTCAAAATAATAGCAGTCAGACATCACTAACCTGATCAATCACGGTTTTTGGTAGAAATGATATTTCTACATGGCAAATAATTTACTAGCAGGTGTAGTAGAGTAATACAAATCCAACAGACCCAACAGTCATGATATGCATGCTGCTGATTCTGTGTAATTGAATCACTAATTGAAAGGGGCATGTTCAAAATAATAGCAGTGTGGAGTTCTGTTAGTGAGGTCATTCATTCTTTGAAAAACAGGTGGCAATTATTGCCCTTATTGAAGGAAGGAAGGCAGCAAATGTTGTACATGCTGGTTACAGTGCATTTCTCTCTGAAATTCTGAGGAAAATGGGTCGTTCCAGACATTGTTCAGAAGAACAGCGTACCTTGATTAAAATGTTGATTGGAGAGGGGAAAACATATAAAGAAGTGCAGAAAATGATAGGCTGCTCAGCTAAAATGATCGCAAATGCTTTAAAATGGCAGCCAAAACCTGAAAGACGTGGAAGAAAGCGAAAAAAAAAAAACTACCATTCGAATGGATAGAAGAATAGCCAAAATGTCAAGGACTCAGCCAACAATCAGCTCCAGGAAGATCAAAGAAGGTGTAAAGTTACCTGTGAGTACTGTTACAATTAGAAGACGCCTATGTGAAGCCAAGCTACCTGCAAGAAGACCCCGCAAAGTCCCACTGTTGAAAAAAAGACGTGCTGAAGAGGTTACAATTTGCCAAAGAGCACATTGACTGGCCTAAAGAGAAATGGCGCAATATTTTGTGGACTGATGAAAGTAAGATTGTTCTTTTTGGGTCCAGTGGCCGGAGACAGTTTGTCAGACGACCCCCAAACACTGAACTCAAGCCACAGTACACTGTGAAGACAGTGAAGCACGGTTGCGCAAGCATCATGATATGGGGATGTTTCTCATAGTACGGTGTTGGGCCCGTTTATCGCATACCAGGGATCATGGATCAGTTTGAATACATCAGAATACTTGAAGAGGTCATGCTGCCTTATGCTGAATAGGAAATGCCCTTGAAATGGGCCTTCCAACAAGACAACGACCCCAAACACACCAGTAAACGGGCAACATCTTGGTTCCAGACCAACAAGATTGACGTTATGGAGTGGCCAGCCCAATCCCTGGATCTCAATCCAATAGAAAACTTGTGGGGTGACATCAAAAATGCAGTTTCTGAGGCAAAACCAAGAAATAGCGGAGAACTGTGGAATGTAGTCCGATCATCCTGGGCTGGCATACCTGTTCACAGGTGGCAGAAGTTGGTTGACTCCATGCAACACAGATGTACAGCAGTTCTCAGAAACAGTGCTTATACAAGTAAATATTCATTAAGTGATTCAAAGGAAAGCAAAATCTTCAAACATTTTTCAGTTTATATAGTGAATGTTTGAGTTTGTAAAGAAGAATACAAACACTGCTATTTTTTTTGAACAGTCTAATATTCCCTTTTCTTCAATTTTGTTTTAGAGGAACAACACAAATTTGATCTATTTTTCTTCATGTTTTGATTTGGAATAGAATGTGTAGTGTTCCCAATGCATTTGTGTGCATGGAAATAAAAGCTATTAGAAGGATTTTGAGCTTTGTTCACTTTTTTCAACACACTGCTATTATTTTGACCACAACTGTAACTGTTTGCATTGATGAAATGATTTAGCTGCACTCTTAGTTGTTTGCCTTGAGTTCCTATTACATATTTGAAGCGTTCAGCCATTGGATGGTGACATCCCGACTCATGAGTAAGGCCATTTGTGTGTATGGAAATAAAAGCTATTAGGAAGGATTTTGAGCTTTATTCACTTTTTTCAACACACTACTATTATTTTGAACACAACTATACATTACAAACACTTCAACGCATCCACACAGGCTGGATATATATTTGGCTTCCTATTGTATCTCACAGTATAATGCCAGGAGTGGAAAAAATAAAACTGCAGGAACAGTGAAAAGTAATTATAAGATCTACTGCACAGACAAAAGCATACAGCTGGAGTCACAGGTAAACATCTCACCCACCTTGGATAGGTATCTCCAAATATATGTCCCAAGAGTTGTACTCTGACCAGATACCCCAGAAGGGGGTACACTGTCATCATTTGAAACAGCAAGAATATTCTAGCAATGAATGACAGGATGTCATTGCTGGGAAAATTATCTAGAAAGTTCTAGATGGAAAAGAAAAAGTTACATTCAAGATAAGGAAATTATGGGCTTAAATGACACAAATCAATATAACTGAGACAGTAATAATAGATCTAATTTAAAACCCAAACGCAGCAAACTTTTTTTTTTTAGTTTTGATTAGAGCAGGGAAAGGATAAGGTCCTTGTTGCTCTCATAGAATGGCATGCAAGTAGCTCAAGCCTACATTTACCATTATCCATATCAATAGCCTCTCTTACTAAATGTGTCCATATTTTAAAGGCACTGAAAATGCACTGCATCTTTGACAGCATTGTGCAAGAATGATGACCTACCCAAGTGATCAGAAATCAATGTGCTGCTTCAGGTGCTAACAACAGAATAATTTTGATTCCTGCTAAGCCGCACACTCTCATGGATGCCATATGGCCTTCACACTTGTCAATAAACATACAGATGTATTATTAAGTAAGATGGTGATTGGATTGGTGGATCATTGGTGGCACCACATGAAAGCTTCATCAGAAGATGTATGCAAAAAGTGTTGTATAAAGCCAACTTTTTATATACAATATCTCACAGAAGGGAGTACACCCATCACATTTTTGTAAATATTTTATTATATCTTTTCATGTGACAACACTGAAGAAATGACACTTTGCTACAATGTGACGTAGTGAGTGTACAGCTTGTATAACAGTGTAAATTTGCTGTCCCCTCAAAATAACTCAACACACAGCCATTAATGTCTAAACTGCTGGCAACAAAAGTGAGTACACCCCTAAGTGAAAATGTCCAAATTGGGCCCAGAGTGTCAATATTTTGTGTGGCCACCATTATTTCCCAGCACTGCCTTAACCCTCTGGGCAGGGGTGTCAAGCTGGCGGCCCTCCAGCTGTTGCAAAACTACAAGTCCCATCATGTCTCTGCCTTTGGGAGTCATGCTTGTAACTGTCAATCTTACAATGTCTCATGGGACTTGTAGTTTGGCAACAGCTGGAGGGCCGCCAGTTTGACACCTGTGCTCTTAGACATGGAGTTCACCAGAGCTTCACAGGTTGCCACTGGAGTCCTCTTCCACTCCTCCATGACAACATCATGGAGCTGGTGGATGTTAGAGACCTTGCGCTCCTCCACCTTCCGTTTGAGGATGCCCCACAGATGCTCAATAGGGTTTAGGTCTGAAGACATGCTTGGCCAGTCCATCACCTTTACCCTCAGCTTCTTTAGCCAGGCAGTGGTTGTCTTGAAGGTGTGTTTGGAGTCGTTATGTTAGAATACTGCCCTGCGACCCAGTCTCCAAAGGAAGGGGATCATGCTCTGCTTCAGTATGTCACAGTACATGTTGGCATTCATAGTCCCCTCAATGAACTATAGCTCCCCAGTGCCGGCAGCACTCATGCAGCCCCAGACCATGACACTACCACCACCATGCTTGACTGTAGGCAAGACACACTTGCCTTTGTACTCCTCACCTGGTTGCCACCTCACACGCTTGACACCATCTGAATCAAATAAGTTTATCTTGGTCTCATCAGACCACAGGACATGGTTCCAGCAATCCATGTCCTTAGTCTGCTTGTCTTCAGCAAACCGCGGCCTTCCTTGTGGGACGACAGCCACGCAGACCAATTTTGATGCAGTGTGCGGCATATGGTCTGAGCACTGACAGGCTGACCCCCACCCCTTCAACCTCTGCATCAATGCTGGCAGCACTCATACGTCTATTTCCCAAAGACAACCTCTGGATATGACGATGAGCACAAGCACTCAACTTCTATGGTTGACCATGGCGAGGCCTGTTCTGAGTGGAACCTGTCCTGTTAAACCGCTGTATGGTCTTGGCCACCGTGCTGCAGCTCAGTTTCAGAGTTTTGGCAATCTTCTTATAGCCTACTCCATCTTTATGTAGAGCAACAATTGTTTTTCAGATCCTCAGAGAGTTCTTTGCCATGAGGTGCAATGTTGAACTTCCAGTGACCAGTACGAGAGAGTGAGAGCAATAACATCAAATGTAACACACCTGCTCCCCATTCACACCTGAGACCTTGTAACACTAACGAGTCACATGACACCAGGGAGGGAAAATGGCTAATTGGGCCCAATTGTGACATTTTCACTTAGGGGTGTACTCACTTTTGTTGCCAGCGGTTTAGACATTAAATGGCTGTGTGTTGAGTCATTTTGAGGGGACAGCAAATTTAGACTGTTATACAAGCTGTACACTCACTACTTTACATTATAGCAAAGTGTCATTCCATTAGTGTTGTCACATGAAAAGATAGAAAAAATATTTACAATGTGAGGGCTGTATATATATATATATATATATATATATATATATATATATATATATATATATATATATATATATAGTCTACACACCCCTGTAAAAATGTCAGGTTTCTGTGATGTAAAAAATGAGACAAAGATAAATAATTTCAGAACATTTTCCACCTTTAATGTGACCTATAAACTGTACAACTCAGTTGAACAACAAACTGAAATCTTTTAGGTGGAAGTAAAAATAAAAAACTAAAATAATATGGTTGCATGAGTGTGCACCCCCTAAACTAATACTTTGTTGAAGCACCTTTTGATTTTATTCCAGTACTCAGTCTTTTTGGCTATGAGTCTATCAGCATGGCAGATATTTGCCCATTCTTCCTTGCAAAAACACTCCAAATCTTGTCAGATTGCGATGGCATCTCCTGTGCACAGCCCTCTTCAGATCACCTCACAGCATTTCAATCGGATTCAGGTCTGGGCCATTCCAAAACTTTAATTTTCTACCGGTGAAGCCGTTCCTTTGTTGATTTGGATGTATGCTTTGGGTTGTTGTCATGCTGAAAGATGACGTTCCTCTTCATGTTCAGTTTTCTAGCAGAAGCCTGAAGGTTATGTGCCAGTATTGACTTGTATTTGGAACGGTTCATAATTTCCTCTACCTTGACTAAGGCCCCAGTTTCAGCTGAAGAAAAACAGCCCCAAAGCATGATGCTGCCACCACCATGCTTCACTGTGGGTATGGTGTTCTTTTGGTGATGTGCAGTGTTTTTGCACCAAACCTATCTTTTGGAATTATGGCCAAAAAGTTCAACCTTGGTTTCACATTTTCCCTCATGCTTTTGGGAGACTTCAGATGTGTTTTTGCAAAATTTAGCTGGGCTTGGATGTTTTTCTTTGTAAGAAAAGGCTTCCGTCTTGCCACTATCCCATAGTCCAGACATATGAAGAATACGGGAGATTGTTGTCACATGGTCACATGTACCACACAGCCAATACTTGCCAGATATTCCTGCAGCTCCTTTAATGGTGCTGTAGGCCTCTTGGCAGCCTCCCAGACTAGTTTCTTCTTGTCTTTTCATCAATTTTGAAGGAACGTCACTGTTGTGCCATATTGTCTTCACTGTGTTCCATGGGATCTAATGCCTTGGAAATTCATTTGTGCCCTTCTCCTGATACCTTTTAACAATGAGATCCCTCTGATGCTTTGGAAGCTGTCTGCGGACCATGGCTTTTGCTTTAGGATGCGACTAAGAAAATGTCAGGAAAGACCTACTAGAACAGCTGAACTTTATTTGGGGTTAATCAGAGGCACTTTAAATGATGGCAGGTGTGTACTGACTCCTATTTAACATGATTTTGAATGTGATTGCCTAACTCTGAACACAGCTACATCCCCAGTTATAAAAGGATGAGGGTTTAAACACTTATGCAACCACATTATTTTAGTTTTTTATGTTACTCCCCCCCACCTAAAAGATTTCAATTTGTTTTTCAATTGAGTTGTACAGTTTATAAGTCACATTAAAGGTGAAAAAAGTTCTGAAATAATTTATCTTCATCTCATTTTTACATCACAAAAACCTGACATTTTAACAGGGGTTTGTAGATATTTTATACACACACACACACACTTTATATGTTACCGAATAAATAAGATAAACATAATGAAAAGCATTGTTCAGTGTTGCCAGTTTTAGGTAGCACCGAGAAAGTCCCTCAAACAAAGTTCTGTTTAAAATCTGAATAGACAGATATACCTACTTGTTGAATGCATTCTTTTGCCAGCGGAGGGGAAGGAAATAAACCAAATATCATGACACCTACATACAAATACGTTAATCCAACCAGGAAATAGGCAACTGAGAGGTCCCTGACCTGTAAGAAGAAAACAACAAATGTCATTTAATTATTCCCCATTTCCTACAATAAGAGCTTCAGCGTCTCCTCCTCTTCACTGAAGAATTCCCGAAACACCCCCCTCCAACCAATACACAAAAGTTATGAGTGGACTACTAATCTTGAAAGGCAAAGGCAACCACCCAAATAGACCACATTACGATTTGACATATAGCACTTGCTGCTCATAGTCCGACTCCAGTAAACATTTTCTTTCTTAGTAAGGAAGACTTTAAATATCTGTCAGGTGTTTATTTCAGTCTGTGACCCCATTGGGGAAATTATCCCTCATGTCGTGTCCCTGTGATTCTATGCAAGGGCTGAGGAATGCAATACTCATTGGAAAAGGAAAGCATGGACATCAATAACAGCATTATGACAAATACGAAGCCTTCTTTACTCTACCAAATTTGTGTATGCCTTGCTATTGGAAAGATTTCTCATCTCCCTAAGAGTAGCATTAAAAAAAAAAAAAAAAAAAACCTGTCTGAAATTGGGCTTTTAAAGGAGAATGCCGTTCAAAGATTTACTGTGTACGAGGTCTGACTTCACTAATCATAACTAGACTTCTGTGAGGATTTAAATCAGTCATAAAATTTTAAAAGTGTCAACTTACTTATAATAGATTTCTTCTTCCCTTTACATCTCAGACTTTTGATTTTCAGGGTTTATATGGCACCTGAAGTCTGACACATACATTTTAACCACTTGCCCTCCAGAGAATTTATCCCCCTTCCTGACAAGGCCATTTTTCTGCGTTACAGCGCTGCGTCACTTTAACTGACAATTGTGTGGTCATGCAACGCGGCACCCAAATTAAATTTAGGTCCTTTTTTTCCCACGAATTGAGCTTTCTTTTTTGGTGGTATTTGATCACCTGTGCATTTTTTTATTTTTTGAGCAAAAAAAAAAAAAAACAAGACCGACAATTTTGAGAAAAAAAAATATTTTTTAATTTTTGCTATTAAACATGTCCAGTAAAGAAATTTAAAAAATCAAATTTAGTCATAAATTTATGGCAAAATGTATTCTGCGACAGGTCTTTGCTAAAAAAAAAAATCCCAATATGTGTAAATTAATTGGTTTACGTGAAATTATAGTGTTTACAAATGGCGGTATATATACTGGGATTTTTTATTTAAATTTTTTATTTTTAATAGTAATAGCAGCGATCAGCGACTTATAGTGGGACTGCGGCAGACATTCTGATATTGGGGGGAACTGACTTGGTGTCACTGACATCCCCAATTACACCAATACAGTGATCACTGCTGAAAAAAAAAAAAAAGCACTGACACTGCTAATGGCACTGGGCAGGGAGGCGTTAACATGAGGGGCGATCAAAGGGTTAACTGTGTGCAAGGAGTGTTTTAATAGGGGACGGTGTCAGTGTGCTTCAGTGTAATCACACTGCTGTGCACAGCCATCCAAAGTGTGCCTGAGCTAACAGGGAGAACTGTTAGTAAACAGAAAAGTTCTCCTCCCCATCAGAGATCTTCGAAATCAATGGGCGCCGGCAAGTAATTACCGTCCAAGACCTGGTGATTGACAGCCGTGGCTGGCACACGCCACCCTACCCGTCAATACAAAATCAAATATGTATATATATATATATATATATATATATATATATATATATATATAATTTTGCGCACCCGTGCCGCCCTGTAGCAGTATTTCTACTATAGGGCGGTCGGGAAGTGGTTAAAGATGGGAGACAGTTGAGAAGAACTTGGGTAACGTCTAACCGCCTGACAGAAGCTGATAAGTTATTCAAGCCAGATAGGTTGCAAATATAAATCTTGCATAAGATTGAACTTATAGTAGTTTAAGTCAGTGTATGGAATCACGCACAAGTCTAGTCTAGATTAATGCTCTGGTAATTGGTTTCTGATTATTAAAATCTTGTTTTTCAGTAAGTGAGAGAACTTACATTATTTTCAGGGTTTCTGTTGTTCTTTAGCAGCGTAATGATACAGTTGTGAATGAAGAAAGCAAGTGTGAGGATTCCAGTTAATTGAGGAAACGATAACCTAAATTCTAAAGAACAAAGAAAAAATACAAGTTAAAGCATATGCAAAAATGCTATTTCAACGGGTAATAAGACATGATTCCTGAGTAATTGTAGCTAAAAAAAAAAATAAAATTTTTTTGTTGAAACAAAATAATGAATCCAACACTCATACACGTGGGAGATTGTCAAATGTTAGGCGCTATAAGTGGCCACAGCATGTCAGAAGTAAGGGTTAGGAACAAGCACACAATGGTTAACACTGGAGCCAATGATTTTGCAGCATGGTGAGGATAAAAATAAATCTGGATCTCTTTAGAGATCAGCTAATTTGAACATATTTAATGCAGAAAGTGAAACTGCACTTGTGCATCCAAATATCAACAGTATACAAATGCATCAAGAAAGCTTCCTATGGGCTTCCTCCTACTACTATATATAATAGTGCAGACAACAGGTTGCTGAAAACCTTAAAGATTTATTAATGCTTACATATACCTTACAAATGTGTCTATATACAGTATATTCATTCCAGACAGCAGGCTGCAGCACATATACATACAAATTATGACCAGCTAAGTATTCAACCATATTACATGCATTTTTGTATTCTTACCAGGAACAAAATATTTTTGTAGTTCATCCCATTCAAAATGAAAATGGAATCCAATACGAGCAGCTTTATAAGTTATTAGTGATACCAGGTACAGTACAGACACAGTGCCTATAATAGAAATAACTCAGGTTATATAATTTCACAAGAACACACACTAATAACATACTGCTTTTCCTTCTAGCATATTGTTCTAACGGTCAGTCAGTACGGCTGTGAAGCACTTGTGTTCTGAATTCATGTACTGGCAGTGTGTCCAGTATCTCCATATGTATACGAAGGCTCCATGTACACTGCAGCTGATAAAACTCACGTTTAGGAGCTTTTCTGTGTTTTTTTCAGCAGCCCCTGAACTCTCCCTAATGTTTTCCTATGTGTCCATGTACACATCGTCGCTTACAGGCAGTTGAGTTCACAGTCTTTTTTTAAATCACCAAACTTGCGCTCAGGAGATTTTATCAGCGTTTCAAACGCCAAAAGCTTGTAAAAGCGACTAACCGCGTTTATCTTTAGAAAATTGTTTTAACTCTTTCATTTCCAGACGCTGTCCAGAGCCTTTTTTCATCATGAAAAATGCATGCAAAGCGTTTTCCCAGTACTCAAATGGACCTGGTACACCATACTTTGAGGTTTCGCATGAAAGAAAATATGTTAGACAATGCTGCAATAATTTCTGCACAGAAATGAGCTGGAACACATCCAAACACCACAAAAAAAAAAAAAAAAAAAAAGACAGCTAATCTTAACAAATGCTACTCTCTCTGCTTCTGCTCTATTTCTCTCAAAATGTCTGAAAGTTAATTTTTAGTGTTTTTCAGTGCATTCTGGGCATTTTGGAAAGTCTCCTGAGGTTATCTTTAAAAAACGTTTCTAAAACGCAAACGCTCATAAACGCGGTATGCAAACGCGGCTAAACAGCCATTTTTTACCTACGTTTTCCAGCAGTCAGTTTTCATCGTTCAGAAGTGTTTTCCAAACTTCTCACGTACATGGAGCCTTAGGATGCACCATGTCCACTATGTAAAAATACAGTGGAGGATTGATTGGTTCAGTCTACTTTTACTTTGTTTAATAGTCACTTAACAACTGGGCCTGCCTGACCGGATACCAAGTTTTATATGTCTCAGTGATTTCCCTGCAGTGGTGTATATTTTTAACAAATTCTCACCCTCTCTAATTTTTTTTGTGTAAACAGTGGAGAATCCAGCGAACAAATGTGACACCATCATTTTCCTTTACTATAGCTCGGGCAGACGAATTGGTGGGGATATCACCAATCCTCAAAATATATATACAGTGCTCAGCATAAACAAGTACACTCAAATAGATTTTTCAGAAAACCTTTACTTTCCTTTCAGAATCAACATTTTCTATGAGACACTAAACTACAAAATACTCCCACAAATGTCGGCCATTGATTACAAACAAGATTTGTCCACACAAAAAGTATTTCTCCTAACTAATTAATTAAAGACCATGTTGCAAAAATGAATACACCCCAATGAAAGTCTTCAGAACAAAGCTAAATTTTAGACAAAAAAATCCTAATTAACAAGAATTCAACTACAGGCGAGTCTAATTATTCATTAAACGGGTGTCCAGCAGACAGTTGTTTATAAAAGGGTGTTACTTAAAGAAAACCCTTTCCCATTTCATGCTGTCAGCAATGACACCACATGGAAGAGAAATGTCACAAGGCCTGAGAATGAAAATAATTTATTTACACAAAAAAGGTGAAGGCTACAAGAAGATCAGCAAAGCTTTACTTATCAGTCAGAATACTGTAGCAAAAACAATACAAAAATTTAACAAAGATGGAACTAAAACCATCTCACAGAGACGACCAGGCCGTCATTAGCTACAGATGTAGAAAGCCAAACTGGGGTGATTGTTTACAGTGACACAATAGGACGTACACTGCAGAGGAATGGCATTCATGGGTGTCGTCCACGAAGGAAGCCCCTCCTAAAGCCCATGCACAAAAACCCTGCCTAAAATTTGCCAGGGCCCATGCTGAAAAAGAAGACAACTACTGGAACTCTGTACTGATGAGACCAGATAAATGTTTTTGGAACTGATAGCTTCAAAACTGTATGTGGTTGCAAAGGTGAGGAGTACAAAGAAATGCATGGTGCCTACAGGGAAACATGGTGGTGGCAGTGTCCTTCTGTGGGGCTGCATGAGTGCTGCTGGTGTTCGGGAGCTGCATTTCATTGATGATTTCATGAATTTGCAGATGTACTGCTCTATATTGAAAGAGGAGATGCTATCATCACTCCTTGCTCTTGGTCGTCGTGCACTTTTGCAACATGACAATGATCCAAAACACACATCTAAGGCCACTGTTGCATTTCTGAAGGACAACAGCATCCAGGCTCTAAAAGAGGCCGTTCTTGAAGAATAGAAAAAGGTAGATGTTGCAACATGTCACAAACATGTTCATTCCATGCCTAAAAGACTTCAGGCTGTCCTTACAAATCATGGAGGTCATACAAAATACTAGATATAGTAGTTTTTGTTGTGGGGTGTATTCATTTTTGCATCAACTAATTTGAGAAAATTAAAGATTTTGTAATCTAAGTTATACTATAAACCTTACTTTCATGTAATGAGCTAAACAAATGTTCTATAAAACTCAGTTTTGTCTAAATTTTGGAAATTGTTCTTGTGTTCATTGAGATATTGATTAAAATCTTACTTTTCAAAAAGGGGTGGACTCATTTATGCTGAGCAGAATACTCCTCAATCTGACAACCATATAAAAGGGGCAAAATATCAACTTTGGAGAAAGCTTTTCAGGGTTCTTTTACAAGGGTTTTTATTGAACAGGACAAGATTGCACACAGTACAAGTGTAGACATGTGAGCATTGAACTAATGATCAGTTAAAATAAAGAACTGTCTGGTATTGGGGGAGGGGGGGTGCACCGCAGATATTGGCTACCAACAGATGCTCTGCACAATGTCTCATTACAAAGATGTGTTAAAGACAGACAAGTCCATAGTAATGCCTGGTACACGCTATCAGTTTTTTTGGGTTTTTTTCAACCCAGGGGCCTGGAAAAAAAAAAAAAAAAACTGAAGAGCTTGGGAGGAGCTTGCTGTACTAACTACCAGATGTTAGTAGAGAAATCTCCCTGCTGAGCTTTTTTTTTTTTTTCTTAATAATCTTTATTTTCAAGCAAAGGTCTTCATATACAGAAAAAGAAGAAAAAAAAAAAAAGAACTAACATACATAGAAGTGCAGCTAACAGTGTTAACGTGTCATGGGTAACATTGAATTTAACATAGGCATCAGGGTGAAATTCTCCGCAAAAGTAAATACACAGCACAGGTCAATCAGCCATCATTTGGCTTATGCTGCAATGAGTACCTCAGAGCCATGAGCAACAAAGTAGGGACAGAACAAAAAAAAGCAAGCAACAAAAAAAAAAAGATAAAAAAAACCCCACAAAACACTCTCAACAGCTCTGTTAAGTAGGAAGATCTACAATAAAGGCTGGCTCATAGGTGTGACTCGGGCATAAACATACAAAACCTTAGGTTTGGATAGCATACGGGGGGGCTGTTATGGGTTGCGAGGTCCCCGAATAAAGTGTAGTGAATTTATGTAGCCCAGATGGAATAAAACTTGCTGCATCGGTCCTTGCATGTGGCCATCCATTCCTCCTCCATTACATTATTCACCAGCTTGATCCATTCGGCTTGAACAGGAACCTGAGACTTTTTACAATACATTGGGATCAAGCGGGGTGCTGAGTTCAAAAGAAGGTTTCCATTGAACTGGCCGATATTTGGCCCATGTGTATGGGGCCTAAGGGTCAAGTTTACAGTAGCAGAAGTATAATGGGGGGGAAAGGGGAGTGTTTAAGATATTGTTTTAGGAGAGTTTTATAGTTAGGAATGGTGGGAGAGAGGGTAAGGGAGATTGTAGAAGCAAGCAGCCAGAGAAGCAAGAAAAAAAAATAAGGAAGGTAAAGGGTGTGGAAGTATGGATGGGAAGGACAGGTGTATACCTAAGACATTAAATTTGGCAAAAAAGGACGGTGAGCGGAAGTTGAGAAGAGGCAGAAGTATGATGATCAGATAAAGCGGAACAGTATTTGTTTTATTCCAACACATCTGGAATAGTGTGAATCCTGTAGAATTTCCAAAAATGAAATCCACCGTTTCATTTGATGGTGTGGAGTCTCCATTATTTGGGCAAATGACTGTAGAGAAACAAAGAAAATACATATTATACACCTTTATCTATCCAATATATCATAAAATTATTTTTTTTTCAATGCAGGCTAAAAATAAAATCATGGCTCCTTTCTGCACTGCCTGTGCAGAATCATAGTTGAATCTTGTCCATATGATCTCTCCCATTTCATGTGATTTCAAGAAAGAAATTAAGTCCATCTATAGGAATGGCCAATACCATCCTTTTTCTTAAAGTGGTTCTAAGGCTTAAGGTTTTTTACCTTCATGCAAACCTGTGTGCAGCATCCCCCCCTAATACTCACCTAAGCCCCCTCTCGATTCAGTGATGTGCAATGAAGTACTCCCTCTTCTCATTGGCAGAGACAGAAGCAGGAGCCATTGGTTCCCACTGCTGTCAATCACAGCCAGTGACCCAATGAGAAGAGAGAGGGGGCGGGGCTGAATGGACACACAGTGCAATGGGTGGCCCCACAGCAAGCTGCTTACTGTGGGGGCACCCAACAGGAGGGAGGGGCCAGGAGAGCCTGTGGAGGACCCGAGAAGAGGAGGATTGAGGCTGTGCAAAATCACTACACAGAGCAGGTAAGTATAGACATGTTTGTTATTTTTTGTTACAAAAAAAAAAAATTGTGCCTTTAGAATCACTTTAAGCTGGCCATACACGTTGAGGAGTCTCTTATTTAGCTCTAGGGTCTAAATGAGCAAAATATATGCAAATGGATGGCAATGCTGGCTATTGTATTCTGACAACGGACACTAGTGCCTGCATCTGACTGCAGCCCGCAACCACATCATGGCTGCAAGATTGATTCCTCTGCCTGGGGTAAGTGAGCTGAGCTTTGTACTGTGCTGAACTCTCCCCATCTCCTTCCCTATTATCCCCCTTCTCTCCCCCTCCCGGTTTATGTACAGATAACACTCAGGGACAACTTTCACATTATCGGGAAATGACTGACAAACTGCTAGTTAGATAAACTAATGGAGTTATTATTCACAAGTTTGTGATACTTCTTTTTAACCCCTTCCTACCCAGCCCCAGCACCCCTTTAGGAACTTCACATGTGCTTTGGTCTCTGAAGAGTGATCTGCATTTGACAGGCAGTGAGGAGGTGTTTTAACCCCCAGAAACCTACACTAGAGCACTGCAACCGCATGCATCGCACGCACTTGTGGGGTGCTTGCAGAGCAGGTTCATTCACTTGAATGGGTTACGTTCAGCAGGCACAGTGCCCACAGAAAGCAACAGCAGATATCATTCCTGCCATGGCCACAAAACATCACAGTGGCAGTTTGTGTACATTCCAACCTTGTGTTGCCAACCATCAGTAAATTTACAACCAGTTTGCAAAAAAAAAAAAATGACACTTTTCTCCTATCCGTAAATGTCTGTGGACAGGAGAAAAGTGCCCCTAAAAAATCCCCTTGTCATGGACTCAGACCTCTGCCAGACTCTGATGCAAGGGGGGATCTCTGCTGGATTCTCATGTAAAGAATGGACTCTGCTATACTCTCATGTAAAGGGGATTCTACTGGACTATCATGTAACGGGGGACCTCTGCCGAATTATGTTGTAAGGGGGGACACTGATGTAAGGTGGTGTCACTCTGGGGACACTGATGTAAGGGAGGACACTGCTGTGAACGTGATGCTCATCCTGACTGCTGCACTCCATATGTTGTTTTGTTGATTACTTACACATGACCCCTGCACTTCTGTACATTATGCACATATATACACAGACCTGACCAAGGTATGCATTGTCTCTACAGTTTTAAATGAAGTTCTTCTTTAAGGTAGGCTCAGTAAAGGCAGCCTATACACTGGCCATTTTTTTGTGTTCAACAGCTGGTTGAAGAAAAAAAAAAACCCCCAAAACATTACTCATTTCTCTCATCCACAAATTCAGTCTGGATAGGGGAATCACTCCGCTGATGTGAGGCATTGTGTTCTGACAGCGAAGAGACTTCCATGCCGCTAGAATACACTGATCAGTGCTGCCAGCTATAGCCAGCGATGTTGATCATGCATAAAGTTTCCTAGAGGCTGGTTGTACAGACATTGAGTTTGCCAATACATGGATCAAAATTCTTCTGGTTCAGTAGGGACCAGTTGAATTTTGATCCATGTATGGCCGCCTAAGACAAAAATATCCTTTTTGTGTGAATAAAAACATATGAACTGGAAAAACAATTTAAAAGAAATGATCCTTTGTCCTGAGGTTTGTGTCTGTGAGACTGTCAGTTGTGGCGTAGTAATTACTACTATGGTACAGGTGTGCATTGTATAGACAGGCACCGATTCTTTTCAATCCCCCTTTAAGACCTTCCCACTAGCCAGCCACAGAGCTCATTTCTCTGTTCTTTCCCAGGGTGCTCCATGTCTTTCATAATCATACTCTTGCTCACATTTTGTCATCTTGTTTTGACTTAATTGTAAAGCCAGTCAGATTACTTATCAGTATTGTTAACCACTTGCTCTCCAGAGGATTTACCCCCCTTCCTGACCAGGCCATTTTTTGCAATACAGCGCTGCGTTACTTTAACTGATAATTGCGCGGTCCTGCAACGCTGCACCCAAATGGAATTTATGTCCTTTTTTTTTCCCACAAATAGAGCTTTCCATCTGTGCTATTTGATCACCTCTGCATTTATTATTTTTTGCACTATAAACAACAAAAAAAACCGACAATTTTGAAAAAAAAACAAAACAATATTTTTGACTTTTTACTATAAAACATATCCAGTAAAAAATTTAGAACAATTAAAATTGCTTCATAAATTTAGGCCAAAATATATTTTGCTACGTCTTTGCTATAAAAACAAAATCATAATACCTGTAAATTAATTGGTTTACATGAAAGTTATAGTGTTTACAAATGGCAGTATATATACTGGAATTTTTATTTTTATTTATACTAGTAATGGCGGCAATCAGCAAATATAGTGGGACTGCGCTGGGCATTCTGACACTGGGGGGAACTGACTGCTGTGAGAATACAATAGCCCAGAAGGGGGAGGATTCCTTCATACACACAGTTTGAGACAATGGAGGGATGTGGGTTAACGCTCAAAATCTACAAAAACAGGAATGTCACACTTTCATGCAGTAACCTTTTAACCACTTGAGGACCAGGCCTTTCTGACACTTTTTGTTTACAAGTAAAAATCTGTATTTTTTTTTACTAGAAAGTTACTTAGAACCCCCAAACATTGTACCGTATCTTTTTTAGCAGACAGCCCTAGAGAATAAAATGGTTGTTGCTGCAAGTTTTTTATGTCACATGGTTTTTAAAACGGCAGTTCTGCAGGTATTGATCGGGTATTCTGACAGTTAACACTTGCAGCTGTGAGACTACAACAGCCCAGCAGGGGAAGGAATCATTCATCCACACTGAGAATAGAGGAATCTGTAGGATTTCAGCCTACATGTTAAACAATGTATGGGCCAACCTCAAGTCCTGGTCCACAGCTCCAGTGCAGTCAAAAGGCAAAATGTAAACAATGCACTGCTTACAATAGCCTGGGGAAGTGATGACAGTTCTCAAAGGCCACCAGGACCATCCGCTGATGTCTTTGGAGTGAATGCCTACATTATTCTGGCATTGCAAATTGTTACTGGGGTATCTTCCTGCTGCAGAGAATGTGGACTGAAGGTGCATATGCAGCACAAACGTTGCTAATAAAAGGTCAGTAATGGGACTTGCTGCAAGCTTTCTTTAAAGTGTAAATTCACCTTTACGAAAAAAAAAAAAGCACACCATGCTGTTTTATATGTGTTGTGACATGGGGTAGTTAGCTCTCGTGGTAGATGCGTTTATACAGCGAGTTTTCTCCATGCCAGAAGTACATTTCAGGGCTTTTCCTGACCACTTTTTTTTTTAAAAGGAAAGCAAAAGTTCACAAAAATATCTTCTCACGCAGGGGGAGGAAATAGGAAAAGACAACATTCAAACCTCTTGACACACTGTATCAGACCTGTGGCTCAGGTCTCATGCCTTGGTCTTCCAGACCATCCAGCACCTGTCTCCAGTGCTAGTACAAAAACATTGTACCTCTTTCAGCTCAGTGGAACCTGTCTCTTGGCTTCTCTCTCTCAGACTCGTGCCTCTGGCTTGGGGCACCTATGAACCCCTGGGTGAGACCCCGTCTCTTGGCTTCTTTCTCTCAGACTCATGCCTCTGGCTTGGGTCACCTCTGACCCCCTGGATGAGACCTGGTCTCTTGGCTTCTCTCTCTCAGACTCATGCCTCTGGCTTGGGGCACCTATGACCCCTGGGTGAGACCCCGTCTCTTGGCTTCTCTCTCTCAGACTCATGCCTCTGGCTTGGGTCACCTCTGACCCCCTGGGTGAGACCCGGTCTCTTGGCTTCTCTCTCTCACTCATGCCTCTGGCTTGGGGCACCTATGAACCCCTGGGTGAGACCCTGTCTCTTGGCTTCTTTCTCTCAGACTCATGCCTCTGGCTTGGGGCACCTATGACCCCTGGGTGAGACCCTGTCTCTTGGCTTCTTTCTCCCAGACTCATGCCTCTGGCTTGGGTCACCACTGACCCCCTGGGTGAGACCCGGTCTCTTGGCTTCTCTCTCTCAGACTCGTGCCTCTGGCTTGGGACACCTCTGACCCCCTGGGTGAGACCGTCTCTCAATTTCTTTCTCTCTTACAATCACTGACTCCTTCAAGAAGGTGGGGCACTAACTCCTAAATTTCTTAAAAACAGCACAAACCTGTACCATTAGTAGGCTTGTTTTGTCAAAAACCAGGCCCAAACTGCCTTCTCACACAGTGGCATTGCCATTCCAAAGTGTATAGCAGCATTTAAAAGAAACCTTCTAAAATGTTCTGCAGCCTGTGATTGCTCTGTTCCCAGTTATTGTAGGGATGGAGCAGCCATCGGGACCAGCACTCTAATGCCAGAGGAAAGAGCACTGTCCTGTTTTTTCAGGCCATACATGTTCAGTGTGTAATCTCTCCTGTCCCTTCTGATGAGCTCAGAAGCTGCATCAAGAAAGCATGCACACTGCACATGTGCAGCCTGAAAGAGCAGGATGACGCTCACTCCTGTAGCACTGGGGAGTACTGGTCCCCACCCTACAATAACTCAGGATGGTGCCATCGCAGGATGCAGAAGATTTTAAGGAGGCTTCTTTTAAATGTGGTTTTCTCATTGTGGAAATGTTATGCTCTTTGCTCAGGAATGTATACAATTTGCACTTGAGGGAGATCGTACTGTGAATGAAGACGCACTACACCTGCATTTACACCATAACGTAACATAAGCACAGCGTATTCCTTGTAATTTTGAAGCATTTTTTCAGGCATATTTCAGGTGTTTTACAGGCATGTTTGCATATGTATCAAGCTTCAGGCATTTGTTTCCTGGTATGGCCAAGGGGAAGAGGGCAGTTTCTAGGTAAAGAGAAGTTCTTCATGTGCAAAAATATACAGACTGTTTTTCTCAAGCGTTCCCATGGAAGTCATATGGTCAGATATAGGGAAATGTGCAGAAATGGTGTGAATGAGACCAAGAATGTTTTCATAGCTTCACAATATTTCTATGCGATTTCATCCACAGAACAATCGCCCTCTATTGCAGTGTTAGACTGTAAAAAAAAAGTGCGCTAAAGCTAAAACAATGACAACACAAAATGTATGTACTAAATATTAAAAAAAAACATATATTCAAAATATTAATTAAAAATAAGGCACTTTTTAGTGAACTGACTGCTTTTGATATACTGTAAATACTGCATAAGATATTTCAGCCTAGGCTCACACTTTTGCAGATGCCCAATGCTGCCATCGATTCTTAATGGGAAACATTATGAAAAAAAAAAACTATTATTTTTTTGCTTTGGTTTTGTTATAAAATTTTGCTAATAATTTTTCTTCATCAATTTACATTTTTGGGGTAAAAGTAATATTATTTAGTCTGTGTGAAAGCTATAGAGTCTACAAACTATGGATATATATTTGAAAGTTGATCAACTTAGACCCTAAAATGCATACACAGGTATGATGTATGGCGGTGATCAGGACATTAGCATGAGGTATGGTGGTGATCAGGATGCTGGTATGGTGGTGATCAGGACGCTGGTATGGGGGTTATCAGGGCACTGTTATGCGGTATGGGGGTGATCAAGGCACTGGTATGCAGTATGGCGCCAATCAGGGCGTTGGTTTGTGGTATGGCGCCGAGCAGGGCGTTGGTTTGCGGTATGGCGCCGAGCAGGGCGTTGGTTTGCGGTATGGCGCCGAGCAGGGCGTTGGTTTGCAGTATGGCGGCGTGGCTGGCACGGCAGTTTTTGAGTGTACAACCACCCCTCCTACTGCCTGTAAAAGTGACCCAGCAGCCAATCAGCCACTCATATCACTTTTACAGGTAAGGGAATCGCTGGCTGAAAATTTTAATGCTGGGGTTATGGCTGACATCTGCAGCCATGGCCTCGATATAACCACTTGAACACAATGACGTGCATGTATGTGGTTGTGCGTCAAGTGGTTAAAGGTTTTACTGTATTTGATAGTCAGTTTTGATTGAGTTGACATGCCTATCTTTTCACAATGGAAAAAATACCTTTTAGAGATGGAGGTTTTTAATATCTAGATATAAAGCTAGGTTCACATCTATGCGGGACTGTGTGTAAATAACAATTGGTCCCACACCCACAGCAAAACTGCACTGATGTTTAGCAGATGCATGCCATTAATTCTTACTGGAAAAAGCAGCTGGTTTCCCGTGCGCTGAATGCATAGCATTATGCGGTTTTCCTGCAGCTTCAAAGAAGGTGCAGGGATTTTCTTCCCTGTGTTTCCCACAGGTACAGAAGCATTCAAATGAATGGACTGCTGTGCCCACACAAACGCAGTCACAGCAAAACTGCAAAAATGTGAACCTAGCCTAACTAGAGGAAGTCATGTTAACAGTTCTATCTTACCTTTATCACTACCGTTTGTACTTAGTCCCATCTCCGTAACATTGACATGATTTACATAATCTGAAACAGACAGTCGTTTTAGAACATTACTATTTACATAAAGAAGAAAGAAAAAAACAAACAAACATGTTTCCCATCTAATTAATGTGAAAAAAATGAACAACCTACCGGATCAGTGACCATCAGAAACCGCTATTTAGTAGTAGCAAATTCACATATGTAATCTGGGGTTAACAGCCATTCCAATGAATTATGATTTAAGGTGGAAGTCTAGTCTAATCCTATCTAATCTTAAACCTGCTCCCCACCCCCTATCACAATGTCCCATACACACGATAAGAAAATCATATAAAAATTTCACGGAACCACTGATTGAACAATTTTCTCTTCGTTGATGAGCAGGAAGTTTTAACCGATAACGATATTCTGAACAAAAAACTCCGGTTGCACAACAGTGAAAAATGTTGTTTCGCATATGAACGAACAATTTTCTATTTGGTGGTATGACGGTCATACGAAAAAAATCTATCAAGCGCTATCACACATGAGCGAAAACAGAAGATGACTCGGATGTTTATGTCCAAGGAATCTTCGTAAACACGAACGAAAAACCCAAATGTTAACAGTAGATTGGCCTAATGAGATAATGAAACCAGAATTCTGCATATTATATTTTATGTATCACTATTTATGTATATAGGTAATGTAATAAACTATATTATACTCATTGCTGGTCATTGTGTATATCACTTGTTCTGGCCGCAAGGTCGTGGCTACAAGGTCACATGCACACTGCATCACTTCCACTTGTACGGAAGACGTCAACACTACGTATTGCCCGACGAAACAATTTTTTTAGATTGGTTAATGTGGGCCACGATTTCAACCAACGAACAAACACCTCTCGGTCGTCAGGATGACCGATCGGTCGATTTTCTAATCGTGTAGTCCCACTTTAAGTCCTACGCAAACTTGCCTGTATGGGAAAGATATCTATACTTACCTATTCTAAGGGCACTCTGGTCTGGTCATGTGACTGGCTCCCAGAACCAGCTTCAGGGGAGAATAGAGATCACCGACAATGGCTGCAATTCCTGGACGTTGACGTCACCCATAGGCTTACTATGGGGTATCCATTGTTGCCTGTCCCTCCTCTCCCCTGAAGTTGGGAGACGATCATATGACTGGACTAGAGCGCACAAAGAAAATTTCAATATAGATATCTCTCCTCTACAAGCTAGTTAGTATCGGAACTTAGAATGGGGGTGGGAACAGGTTTAAGATCAGATAGAATTAGCCCGGACTTGCACTTTAAATATAAAACTGAGGAATATTTGAAAGGAAAACCTCTGCATTGTTCATTGCAATCACAGTCGCTTCGACATTTGTAAGGTGTGTTAAAAAAGACCAAAAAGGTGATTAGCTGGTAAGGCAACAATTTATAACGTTTCATTTCAGTACTTCAAATATTGAGCTCATTATGATTCACGACTGCACAACTGTTTTTAATCAATTTTTTAGTGTTTAAAACTTAAAAAAAAAAAAAAAAAAAAGAAAGAAAGTCGCAACAGGGGAAATTAGAAGAGATTCATAATAAAAAAAGTCAAGTATGTACAAAAAATATTACACTAAATTGAAAGGAACAAAGTGGACTTCATTTTAAACATTAATGAGCAGGGCCTATATACTCTAACCTATCACAAAAAAAAGTTGTGTCTGATTTTAGATATGCTGGGGTGCCTTGGGTGCCCTTGATTCATTGCAATGCAGGTTAATGACAAAACGCATGTTAACATGCACAAGTTACCACACAAACATGTGCCCTTATATTTTGTGTGGATGGAGGACAGGCCACGGTTTGACAGACTTGCATCATCTGTAAGGCTAGCATGTTGTTACAAAGACAGAGAAGCAGCAATTTGTCTGAAATTGTCTTTTTAGCTGCCAAAGATGCATTACATTCAGAGAGCACATTTTCTTCCTAAAAAAATTAAAATGCATCCAATATGAAAACTAGAAAGTAAAACCTCCTTACTGAAGCATCTCCTCCCAACCTTGCATTTCCTTCATACCCTCCCCCTCTTTTCCAGAACAGATTCCCAAATTAGCACATTTTCTTCTCTCATATACCCTGGATAAATGAGAACCTTCATAGACATATGACATTTTGTACTTACTATAAATAAATTTCCCAGTATTAAATAGAAAATTGGACATCAGAACCCAATAGACAATCATTGCTCCAACGAGGGACACCAGAGAAAACAGGAGGCTGGACCACCGACCAAATAAGCCAAAATAGTATTGGCAGACATCTGGAAACTCCCAGGTTGAGGTGTCAATAGAGGCTGCAGAAGGCATGAAAAAAAAAAGAAAATAACGTCAACAATTTTTCCTGCAACATGACTCGTTCAAATACAATTAGGTCCATACATATATGGACACAGGCACAATTTTCATACTTTTGGCTCTGTATGCCACCAGAATAAATAAAAATGAAACAATCCAAATGAATCTGAAGTGCAGACTTTAAGCTTTAATTCAAGGAGAAGAACATAAATATCAAGTACAATTGTTAGAAACTGCAACCATATTTATACACAGTCCCTTCATTTTCAGGAGCTCAAATGTAATTGGACAAATGAATATAATCATAAATAAAATGGTCATTTTTAATATTTTGTTGAGAATCCTTTACTGGCAATGACTGCCTGAAGTCTGGAACCCATGGACATTACCAAAGACTGTGTTTCCTCCTTTCTGACAGGCTCTAACTGCAACTGTCATCAGTTGTTCTTTGTTTGTGGGGCTTTCTGCCTTTGGTTTTGCCTTCAGCAAGTGAAATGCATGCTCAATTGGGTTGAGATCAGGTAACTAACTCAGCCATTGCAGAATATTCCACCTCTTTTCCTTCAAAAGCTCCTGGGTTGCTTTTGCAGTGTGTTTTGGATCATTGTCCATCTGTACTGTGAAGCGCCATCCAATCAACAAGCTGTATTTGGCTGAATCCGGGCTGACAGTATATCTCTAAACACTGCAGAATTCATCCGGCTGTTTCTGTCTTCTATCACATAAACAATAAACACCAATCACCCAGTGTCACTGGAAGTCATGCATGCCCATTCCATCACACTGCCTCCATCATGTTTTACAAATGATGTTGTGTGCTTTCGATCATCAGCTGTTCCAAGCCTTCTCCACACTTTTTTCTTCCCGTCATTCTGGTACAGATTAATCTTAGTTTCATCCATCCAAAGAATGCTTTTCCAGAACTGGTCTGGCTTTTTTAGATGATTTTTGGCAAAGTCTAATCTGGCTTTTGTATTCTTTAGGCTTATGAATGGTTTGCACCTTGTGGTGAACCTTCTGTATTTGCTCTCGTGAAGTCTTCTCTTGATTGTAGACTTTGACAATGATACGCCCACCTCATGGAGAGTGTTCTTCACTTGTTTGGATGTCGTGAATGGGTTTTGCTTTACCATAGAGAGGATCCTGTGATCATCCACCACTGTTGTCTTCCATGGACGTCTGTCTTTTGTGTTGCTGAGCTCACAAGTGCATTTTTCTTTCCTCAGAATGTACCAAACTCTTGATTTGGCCACTCCTAATGTTGCTGCTATCTCTCTGATGGATTTGTTTCATTTTTGAAGCCTTACAATGGCCTATATCACTTGCATGAACAGCTCCTTTGAGCCCATGATGTAGGTTCACAGCAATAGATTCCAAATATAAATACCACACTTAGAATCAACCCCAGACCTTTTACCTGCTTAATTGATGAAGAAATAACGAAGGAGTAGCCCACACCAGCTTTTGATTTAATTGTCCAATTACTTTTGGCCCCTTGAAGAAGGGGAGATGGCTACTCTTAAGAGCTGTAATTCCTAAACCCCTCCTCCAATTTGGATGTACATACCCTCAAATTAAAACTCAGTGTGTACACTTTCAGCCCATATCCATTAAATAAATATAGCTTGAATATGCTTTGCTAAATACCTGAAAAAAACTAAAATTGTACCTGTGGATCTAACTAGTGCTTGAGCAGTGATCAATACAAAGCTTGGAATGACTGTACAGGTCTTTCAGCAGACTGGAAAATCCTTATCAAAGATCGTACAACTGTTCACATATTTCACAACAAAAGGGGAATAACCTTTACAGCAACAAATATAAAGAAAACTGTTGGTACTCAGTGTCATCTGTATCTAGTGTACATGTAGTGTGACGTGTACATACAAAAACCTCACACTGGAAATTTGTTCTACATTCTGCGAATACACAAATTTTCAAGCTGGTCCAAGCAGAATCCAGCCAAAAATAACAGTTTCAAACAGTTTCAGATGCTAAACAGCATGATATGATCGACACGTGACCAGATGTCTAAGGCTGGACATATATTTTGCAAACCACGGAGAGCTATTGTGTTCTGCCAGCAGAGAGCCTTCTCCACCAGCAGAACACAATGATCATTTTATGGTACACCATTTGTTGCAATTGTCCCAGACTGGACAGACTGGACAGCTGTTTACTTTTACAGTGGAATATTTTCTCAAGGAACTATAATACTTATTTCTATTAGCTGAACATGATTTGTGCTTGCACCATATCACTGCAATCTGGGAAGAGCGGTTTAATTTGTTATATGAAATCCATTGCCATTACATTATTTTTTTTTATTACAGGGAAACCAGTACATTATTAGCTGTACAGCTCCAATCTACCTTGAAGAAAGATTCTTCGGTCTCTTTTTTGGATATCACTTACTTATATCTCATGTTTATCAATGAGGTTTCCCTGACAATGGAAAACTTGTGCCTGGAAGGATTCTCATTTTTTTAAAAATTCATGTGGCACTTTTACAGAAATACACACACACACAGAGCGGGTAAAATAAGTATTGAACACGTCACCATTTTTGAATATATTTCTAAAGGTGCTATTGACATGAAATTTGCACCACGTTGGTAACAATCCATACATACAAGAAACCAAAACAAGTTCAGAAATTTAGTTGTGTAATAAAATGGAATGATACAGGGAAAAAGTATTGCACACGATAATTGAAATGTATTTAATCCTTTGTACAAAATCCTTTGTTGATAATGACAGCTTCAAGATGCCTCCTGTATGGAGAAACTGGTTGCATGTATTGCTCAGGTGTGATTTTAGCCCATTCTTCAAATCTTGAAGGTCGGCCTCTTCTATGAACTCTGATCTTTAGCTCTTTCCATAGATTTTCTGCTGGATTCAAATCAGGTGATTGGCTGGACCATTCTAGCAGCTTTAGTTTCTTTATTTGAAACCAATTGAGTTTCCTTGGCTTTGTGTTTGGGATCATTGTCTTGCTGAAATGTCCACCCTCATTTCAACTTAATCATCCTGGTAGATGGCAGCAGATTTTTATCAAGAATGTCTTGGTACATTTTTCCATTTATCCTTCCTTCAATGACGTAAAATTTGCCGGTACCATATGCTGAAAAACAGCCCCACAACATGATGTTCCCACCTCCATGCTTCACTGTTGGTATGGTGTTTTTGAGGTGATGTGCAGTGCCTTTGACCTCCAAACATGGTGTGTATTATGGCATCCAAAGAGTTCAATGTTGGTCTCATTTGACCAGACTATATTCTCCCAGTATTTCACAGGCCTGTCTAAATGTTGTGCACTGGATGAGAGGCCACCAAGGGACAGTCCACTGCAAGAGTGTAGTAGAGCACCAACTGCCTGGGGAGCAGAGGATTGGGTAAGTAAAAGTGCTCTACCATGCCCTAGACAAAAATTAGCAATTAATCCTTGCAGTACAGATGTAGACCTGCTGCAAGGGAAGACTTTAAATTTTGGGTACATATCAGCATTTGTATAAACCCTAAACCTTTTTTTTTAGTCACAGAAACATTATCCAACAACAACTTCTGATTTTACAAGGATATGCTTGTTGTTCAATATTTTGACATACAACATACCAATTATCCCAATCATAATAGTAGAACCTAACCAGTTAATATTGCAAATACTGCAGTTGTCAGACAGCTAATAAAACAAAGGGTCCTACTGGACTAGAAGGTCATACTAGCTTGTGAAGTCACAGAGGAAAGAACCACTGGAATGAGGATTATTACATGATGAGTGTGTGTCTGCAGTTTATTTCCTAACTGAACCCTTATATATTCTGTATAATTATAAAAAATAGTTACATTTCTTTTGTATTAGATGTACTGCTTATTAATAAATTACACTTTTAGAACTGGACCAGAGATAGCCCTTTAAAAGGAAAACATATCCCTAGGAGATAGATTTACTATTAGCTACAAAACTGAGCTATATCACCCAATAATTTCATAACATTATCTCTGAAAAGGTGAAGATTAGCTCCAATATGTGATAGAAAATTTATTATAGTGAAATTAAAGGCTTGGATTGTTTTTCTTTTTAAAAAATAACAAACATATCATACTAACCTGCAGTGTGCAATGGTTTTGCACAGAACAGCCCCGATTCTCCTCTTCTCGGGTCCCCTGCTGGCACTCCTGGCTCCCTCCCCCTGGGCAGTGCCCCACAGCAAGCCAACTGCTATGGGGGCACTCATACATACTCACTCCGAGTCACTGCTCTGTGTGTCTATTCACACACAGATTGTGGCTCAGATCCACCCCCTGCTATCTCCTTATTGGGTCACTGGTTGGGTAATTGACAGTAGGAGGAGCCAATGGCTCCCACTGCTGTCTAAGCCAATGAGGGGGGAGAGATTCGGCAGAGCCGCTGCTCTCGGGCACATGGCTGGATTGAGATGGGGCTCAGATAAGTATTGGGAAGGGGGGGGGCGCCTTCATGCAACTTTAAGGGTCAATTATTAATGTGAAGGAAGTCCCCATAATAACATATTCATTTTGCTACCATCATCCCCTTGTTTATGGTGCAAAATCCAATTTAATTAAAGGGCAAAGTGTTGTAACCCATTGGACTTCAGATTTTTGTTTTGCCATGTTTATGGATTATCTCCTGGACTATAATACCACATTGGGCTCCCTCACCAAATGCAAACAGAAAACGGACAGTTACTGTCCCGCCTTCTCTGCAGTTATGAAAGGGTTACAGAGGATTACAGGCAGTATAACCTTTGATGTCCACACAGCAACGAGTCGATGATTGATAACCGATGATCTTTTACTGATAACATGTCAACATAGTACATGAAATGTGAACGTGAATGTGAGAATGAATGAATGTTAAAACTGAAATACAAACAGAATAAACAGACATGAGTACATATCTAACTTCCTAGCTATGTGCATAACATTCCACAGTACATAGGAAGGGTACTTACAGACTTTGGGGGTCTAATCAAGCCCATATATGAAGAGGGAACAGCATCCCACATCTACTTGCATAGTAGAATTTCTTCAGTCTGAAGAGATGAGGTCACTTCCTCCCAAGTTAGCAAACAGGAAGTCCCTGGCCTTAAAGGGGACAGACACTGCTGAATGCTAAAGAATGCCTTGTGTAATACAAGGCAGCACAGTTACAAATAAGCGTTTTAAAAATGACCTTTACACAGAGATAGCATTGTTGGCTCATATGGGTAAGAAATGTATAATCAGATGCCTAATGTTTTCTGGTGAAAATTCAAAAATATGTTTGGAGTAGCTTCAAACTTGGTGCATATTAATGGTATGAACAAAAAAACCCAGGATGATGTAATTCAGTAACCGTAATAATATATAAATATCGAAGAAAATAAATGAAGTTCAGGAAAGTATAAAACTCACTTATTGTCACTCGTGATTTCAAAACTCTGTAGCAGCAGTAAAGTGTTAAAAGGCCCATCAAGGAGATTATAACAACTCCAGTGGTGAATCCAGCCTGAAACATAAGAAGGGGGTTATATGTAGCTACCTTCAGGTGATTGGACAATGGCAAACACACAAAGCTGCAGGGACATTCCCTATTTCCTAACCAACCCCCCTCTACAGTCTCTTAAAGGAGAATGTATGAGTAAATCATACACACATTGGACTCAGAAGGAGATAGAGAATTGCTTAGTTTGTGTTACAACACGTCTGGAGACATTTGAAGCGTCAAAAGACAAACTTAATAAAACTTACTTGTAAACATCCCTTGTGACAGCAATAGGTACATGACAGGTACTCTTTATGGAGGGATCTGGGTTCTAAGACTCCAAATTCCTCCTCTGACCTCAAAAGCATTCAAAACACCAAGATCAGAGTTTTTGAATGCTTTTCGTTTTATTTTTGAAAATGGCGCCAATGACATCCGGTTCATTGTCAGGTCATCTCTTCCAGGTTACCATAGAGGAGACCCAATCAAAGCCAATCCGGCTTTGTTTCAGTTTCCAACCAGCCGGAGAACATGCAGAATGGTTGCTCGGATCTCCCAGTGTTTTTGTGATTACCTGTTTTATGCCCCAGGGAATACTGAGTATCGATGTCCCCATCATGGTATTCCAGATCATAAATCTGCAGAAAATGTATTACTGTAGTTATAAACAAAGACATTATCATATACTTATATTGTAGATCTGTATACATTTTCAAAACTGATGGCAATAATTTTGGATCCTTGGAACCTTCTATTTCCTTTTGTAGAACCGAGGTAAACTGGACATGCACAGTTTAAATTGTTTTTTCTTCGTTTTGTTCAAAAGAAAAAAAATACAGATTCCTCCATCCGCACAACTGGATGGAGGAATCCCACCACAGAGACACTGTATTCTTACAACGGTGTATGTGGCAGCTGCTGATCGAGGAAAATATTTCCCTTCTGTCGAGGAGAGATGGACAGACACTGATCAAAATTCTGCTTGTCCCTGCTGAACCAGCTGGTTTTCGAGCAGTCTATGTCCAGCTTAAGTCAATCAGTAAGTGATAATAAAGATCACAAGATCTAAAGTGGCTTATTATTATTATATAGGATTTATATAGCACCAACAGTGTGCTCAGTGCTTTACAATATATGGGTGAAGGGATAAGTGCTCTATTAATAAAAAAAAAAAAAAAAAAAAAAAGCCCTCAGTCGGTAATGCCAGGTCTACAAACATACATTGTGACAATGCTGGAGTTCTTTTCCGAACTGTCTCCTCCACCAATTTTCAAGGCACTTCCAAGGGGACTGTAAACATAGGTCTCTTCAGGTGCAGGGATGACATGATCAGGAGCAACCTAAAAAAAACAAAAACTGAAATCGAACATACTGTGTCACAAAAAACAGGGTCTGTGCTTGATGACCATTTATTCCCACCAGAACTTCTCACCTCGCACAAATCAATGGGAAGCAGTTTGAAGCAGTTTGAAGCAGGTTAGAAACAAGTCAAATGCAGTTCAGAAGAGAATTGTGTATAATCTTAAATGCAAGTAGAATGTACCTAAAAGGAAGCTGCATTTGTCTATCAACACAAACCCCAGTTATTATATTTTTATTATTATACAGGACTTATATAGCGCCAACAGTTTGCACAGAGCTTTACAAAATGAAAGTAGACATTACAGTTACAATACAATTTGGAACAAGAGGAAACAGAGGGACCTGCTCATTATTGGAGCTTATGCCATATAGTGTTGGCATTCTGGGTACAAAAGCCACCGTCTTCACCAATATGTAGTCTGCATGTTTCCTTATTTTTGTTTGAATCATTATTTGTGTGATTATCCTCTGATCCCTTCACATTTACTGAACCCACATAATAATAAAACCACCAGGACACTAGGACCTGTCCCTCCCATATTACCTCTCTCACACTTCTGCTTCTACTAACATCTGGAGACATTTCCCAAAATTCTGAGCCGCCATCTTTTTCCTTTGACCAACATACCCAGCACCCCCAATCCACAATCTGGTTACTATTCCTCATCTTCCTAGAACTAGCCATCCCTTTTCCTGTACCTGTCTGTAAAACTCCCCTCTGTCCAACTCACAAACACCTTTAACGACTTGCTATCCTGAGGATTTACCCCCCCCCCCCCCCCCAAAGACCAGGCCTCTTTTTGCTATTCGGCGCTGCACTATTTCAACTGTTAATTGCGCGGTCATGCAATGCTGTACCCAAACAAAATTTATGTAATTTTTTTTTTTTTTTTTAAACACAAATAGAGATTTCTGTGGTATTTGATCACCTGTGTACTTTTTATTTTTCACACTATAAACAAAAAAAAAAGACCGAAAACTTTGAAAAAAAAAACTATATTTTTTACTTTCGGTTATAAAAAATATATAGTAAACTCAAATTTATAAAAAGTCATAAATTTAGGCCAAAATGTATTTTGCTACATGTCTTTGGTAAAAGAAAATCCCAATAAGTGTATATTGATTGCTTTGCGTGAACGTTATAGCGTCTACAAACTATGGTATAGATACTGTAATTTACACCATATTTTTGCTATACAGCGCTGCACTAGTTTAACTGACAATTGCGCGGTCATGCAATACAGTACTAAAATTAAATTTACATCCTTTGTTTCACACAAACAGAGCTTTCTTTCAGTGATATTTGATCACCTGTGCGCTTTTTATTTTTGGCATTATAAACCAAAAAAGCTTTGAAAAAAAAAAAATTTGGAAAAAAAAATATTTTCTCATTTCTATCATAAAAAATCTCCAAAAAACCTCAAATTGTCATAAATTTAGGCCAAAATGTATTCTGCTACATGTTTTTTGTTAAAAAATCCTAATAAGTGTATATTGATTGCTTTGTGTGAAACATATAGCATCTACAAACTATGGTATAGATAATTGAATTTACACAGCTTTTACTTTCTGACTGCTCATCACATTTCTTGAGGTGCTAAAAGATGATGGTATGGCGAGTAAATAGATACCACACATGACATGCTTTAAAACTGTGCATGCATTGTGCAATGGCGACAAACAGCATACATTTTTAATATCCATAGGCAACGCTTTAAAAGCCTGTACAAGCTACCATTTTAGATTTACAGAGGTCCAGTGCAAGAGTTGCTGCCCATGGTCTGACGTTAGCGGGGGGGGGGGGGGGGGGGGGCGGTGGAGTTAGGCGGGGCACAAGGGTGCTTTTTTTTTTTTTTTCATCACTTTTAATGCTATCACAGGGAATGCAAATATCCCCTATAACTTCAATGGGCATTGTCATATATTCTTTTTTGAGAGATCTGGGGTCCATCAGACTCTAGATATCTCCTCTGCCCTTACATTATTTAATCTCACCAAGATCGGTGTGCTGTTCTCCTCATATTTGTTATTCAACTGTGCATTGTATCACCAATTCTTATTTCACCAGGTTTGTTTCTATGTCTTGATCTGTTGCTGCCATCTGCTGGCCAGAATTTGCATGCTACATGCCTCTGTTCTTGCTAGTAAAGTTTTTTCTCTGCTGGGGGCGTGGTTTTAGGTAAGCCTTGGTTCTGGTCACTTCCTGCAGCCATTTTATGTGCTTTATAGCTGTGTGACAGGACATTCAATACCCTGGGCTTGTGAAGGCATCAGTTTTTGACCAGCAGTTAGCCTCAGGAAAGATATCACAGGACAGCATCAATACCTCTACTACCTTACAGTATTGTATCACTGTTTGTCGCTGTATTTGGACCAAATAAACCCACGCTGATTTAATTCCTGTGTAGACGTTTGGATCCATCTAACCTGAGCATCTGCCGGTCCGGTCCACTGCTTGGATACAAAGGTAGGAAGTTACACAGCCATTATCAGTTATACCTTCATTCGCCTTCATGTGGGGACAGAACAATCGGTGTGATCAGATGCTTTCCCAATTTGCAAATGGCGCTGTTTATGTATATCCTACGAAACTGAAGTGATGAAATGCCTGTAACTTCCGATTTCTTAGACTATAGAGATGATTGGCACCATTCCGGTCTCCAGTCAGCTCTATGGTCAGCTGGCAGAAACACGGGTTGCATTCTCAGGTTCCCCCAATAGCACGGGACTGCCCAAGAAGGCCGTGGAAGGCAGCGGGGGAGGGGGGGCATCGTCTCCCGCTGCTTGTAAAAGAAATCCTGCAGCTAATTAGCCACCAGGATTGCTTTTAAATGAAAGCAGATCGCTGACTGCAAAAAAAAAAAAAAACCGATACCAGGATGATGCCTGCAGTTGTAGGCATCATCCTGTTATAACCATTCAAAGTCCAGTGATGTACAGTACGTCGCTGGTCCTTGTTGGGTATATATGCTATGTTTGTTTTTTTTTAATGCAGCCTGTGGGCTGAATGAAAAAAAGAAGAAATCTCTGCCAGAAAAATTGTGTAGTATGCCCACCATTAGAATATACCTCCCTGCATCCACCCACTTCTAATGGTGGGCACACATTAGGTCGCACGGTGCCAATTCCAAGCTTGTACAAATGTCTAAATAGTGGCACGATTGAATAAAAATTGTCCACGTATAAGTGGTACCCTATATGGAAAAAGGATGACACCAAGTCCCAAACTATCTTGTCACTACTCCCCATGTAGTCTGGGCATCCGGGGGAGGGGGTCTACATGACATCTTGACCCCATATCTGGCACGCTTGCTAGGGAGAAATTGTTTGAATGCAAAGCGGCCAAAAAAATGAATTGACTCATCAATGCAGATTTTTTGCTGGGGCATATAGACATCTGCAAATTTTTGGTTAAGGTGATTTCCAAAGGGCCGAATTTTGTGGAGCCGGTCAAATTCAGGGTCACCCCGAGGACGACAGAGTGTATTGTTGCTGAAATGCATAAAACACATTATACTCTCATATCTATGCTTGGCCATGGCAACAGAGAACATGAGCATATGATGAATCAGGTCTGTGGACCAATACAACCGTAATTCATTTTTTTTTTTTTTTTTAGTAATGCTCATGTTGATAATTAGGCCCCAAAAAAATTTAAATTCGGAAACCGTAATGGGTTTACATGCAAACGGTCTGGCAAGGTTTGAATTTGGGTTGGCAGCAATAAATTGTTGTGCATATAAAATGCTTTGATCCACAATCAATGCATACAGATCTTCCATGAAAAACAGCTCCAAAAAAGAAATCAAGGGTAGTAGTTAAATTTGCAGTTTCCACCTGAATTCTGAACTGGGCAGTGAATGGGGGAAGTACGGGTGCTGCAGAATTTGTGGGCTGCCAATCGGGATTTGCAAGCACATCCGGAAGGACACTAGGGGCTCTACGGGCTTGTGTGCAAATTCTTGGTGGTTGTGGGACAATACTTGTGCTCGCCACTGTACCAGCTTTTACTGCACTTATGGGACTCGCCACGTCACCAAGTGATACTGCAGTGCTGGTATGTGAAAGACCAGGATGTACTAAGCCACTGGTGCTCGCCAGTTCACCAAAAGGTAGAGCGGCACTAGTACTGGCACTCTGCTGCATAAGAGAGTCATCAAAATTTACCGGCAAGTGCTAGCAGAGATTAGGCCTGATTCTGCAAACACTGCGGTTTTGTGTGCAATGTATCAAGTGACAGTGACCTACAGACACTGCACTTGCAGGGGGAGAAGGGGGGAAAGCGTAGGGGCTAAACGCAGGTGCTGGCAGATGTCGGAGCTGATCCTGCTAATGCTGTGTTTTTGGGGAAACTATACTAATGTGAACGCTGGTATAGTGCTGACCTGATCAAAGATATTGATCCGTTCAGACACTATACTAGCAATGGAAGTTTGAGTATGAGTGTGTTCCTGGCAATCAAAGGGTTAAATGTGATTACTGGTGTACTGACGGGCAATCTGCCATCTGGGAGGGGCTTGAAAACCGCGGAGATACGAATTACGTATATATACGTGATTTTGCGCACCCGTGCCGCCCCTGTAGCAATATTTCTGCTATAGGATGGTAAGGAAGCAGTTAAAGAAATTATTTGTGTTACAGCGCTGTTATTTTAACTGAAAATTGCACATTCATGCAACGCTGCACCCAAATTATATGTATGTCTTTTTTTCCCCACGAATTGAGCTTTCTTTCGGTGGTATTTGATCACCTGTGCGGTTTTTATTTTTTTGTGCTATTAAATAAAAAAAGACAATTTTGAGAAAAAAAAAACTACCGGTATATTTTGGACTTTTTGCTATTAAACATGTCCAGTAAAAAAAAATGTCTGCGACGTCTTTGCTAAAAAAAAAAATCCTAATACATGTAAATTTATTGGCTTACGTGAAAGTTATAGCATTTAAAAATGGCAGTATAGATACTGGAATTTTTTTTTTCT